GGGGCACTTGAGCGAGCGAAACGTTTGGGTTTATCCAAACCCTATGGGTTTCTGAACCGTTTTTCTTGGTCATTGCCAGAACAGTTCACTTCTCTGAGCAGCAAAATGGGCAATCAAAAGCAAATGCTGCGCTGGTAAGCAAGTGGCTTACTAGCAATTAAACATTTCCCTTGCAATTTACCGCAGCCGCCCGTATAATCGATAATCTTCTAATTGAGTAATGCAATGAGGGTATTATATTACTTATCCATAACCGCATGTAAGCTATATTCTGGCCTGACCGCTAATCAATGGACAGGCTCGCATAACAGCCATCCAGGTGATGTGGACGGACATGTTAAACTGGCTTACCACTCATAAATCTTTAATAAAGTTAGCAGAACCAAAACGTGAAGTGTTAAAGAACCGCTGACGGCAGTTTGCGTAACTTATTAATTATTTAGACTCCTTCTCCAAGAGGAGGAAGCGCCGAAAAGCTGCTGCATCGCTCTGAATAATTAAAAGCCTGCAAACTGTAACTTTTTAATTGTCAAGTGAAAATTTCAGTTTTCTTTTGCAGTAGAAGCTCCTTGGAAAGTACGCCGCAGTTTCCCTAGCGGTAAAAGTTGAATATTCAATTAAAGCTCTAATTGATAGCGATTTTTGGGCGTTAATTTGACAAATTCTTGAAAATTTCCCGATGATGTCCGAAAACCGAAACGTCCGCCATTTATACAACAGAGCTTGATGTATAAAATACATGCAAAACCGACTGTGCCATTCCATTACTTCCTCAACAAATAAATTCTGAACTTCAGTCTGCCAAAAACCTCCCATAGAATCAAGCTAAATTTTGAAAAATTGTCCCAAATTGCCGAGTGAGGAGTGAAACTCAAGATTTTTCGTGCTTATAGAAGGACTTTGCCCTAAGCAATCAATGCATCCAAAACTGACTTTCGCACTTTGCAAGTTACCTCAGAAACAACTTCTGAACCGATTTTGACAAATTCTTGTGAGCTTTTTCTGTGCCTCTTCTCTGCTTCATATCTGCTGCGTTTTATGTGGCACAGAAACTTTCTAAGTACATCTGACGGTCGTGGAGTTTATATTTCATATCCTTAGTGGGTAGAGAATAGTTGACATTAATGGGCCGAGTTGTGCCTCATTTGCTTCGAGAGGATTAACCCGATAAACAAGAAACATGTACGAAAGGACAACAAAACCCCGAACTTGTATGCTATTTTGCAAATAAAACTCCATGCGGCTCCAATGCTGCAGCTTTTATTGTCTTTTCGGAGTACATAATCCATTATTGTACGATTGTCTGTGGTTTATATTGCGTGCACTGCGCCTTTTCTTAATGGCCCAAGCTGCGAAATTAAAACTTCTCTTGGCGTCGTCCTAAATATAATTTTATGTTACTCGATGGATCTTCAAATGAGGCATCGACAGTAGATGCAGCTTTCGTCTCTTACTTGCTAACAAGTTAATTTCCGGCCCCTTTTTGGCCAAGAAGATTTCGTAGTCGGTGCAAAAATCATAAAGCTGAAGAACAATGAAGTGATAAAATGGGGCAGATTTCGGAGGTTTGGCACCTCAAGCGAGGGGCATTTTATGTAAAAATCCATCGATTTTCAGTGTTGCGTCCGTCCACTCGGAGACTCACAAATGCAGCCCTATTTTATCAATTAAGAACCTTGAGGTTTTGCGGCGAAAGTTTCAAGCAAATATATCAGCTACTTCTAACGGAGTTTAGCTGCTCTTGGCGGGTCTTGGCGTCTGTGCCATTAAATTTTAATACATTTCTGAGGCATTTCAACTGTGCACGTCTCGACTGTGGGAAAAACATCTCAAAATCACTCCAATAATGGAGCTGCCGAACTGGATGAACCAATAAATGTAAAGTGCAAACGGGCATTATTGCCAGTGAAAATTATATTTAACACCTGAATGCATGTGACTGTTAAAGCAAATTAATAATAAAATCGAGTTAGTCACTATGTAGAATTGAAATTTGCAGATAGAGCTGATTCGATTGGAAAGTCCGATTTGCTGCACATTATAATGCGTGCGGGAAAAACGAATTTTCAGTATCAATCAGCCAGTTGCGTTGCTGCTGGAATCATACATACCCTATTAAATTATGAAAAATTCCAATTTATTTAAATTTCCACTCAACAAGCCTAGAAAAGCGTAACACAACATGAACATTATTGCCTTTTAGAAAACGCGGATTTAAATTGAAACAATCGGGCAGGAGGAAATTGCATCTAAAACCCCGATCAGACTCGCAAAGCCTTTTAATTAATTTTATATTTTTTTCACACAACACGCCCTAATTAACCATCACGTTTTGAATTCGATGTTCTTTGCAAAAATTTAATTGCGCCTCACTCTCTGCCACTCATAAAACCCATAAATAAAATCCCCATTTCCATTTGCTATCATGTTATCAAGTTCTGTAAGCCACCCGCCTCTTTCAGGGGTTCATCCAATACACTTCGGTCATAAACCGAGAAAAAAAAACGCTCGAACGCGTTATAAAACGAGCAAGCAAATAAACTGACTTTTACGATAAACACGTTTATTATATGGCGGATAAGGGGGTTTATTATTTAACGGGGGTTGGTTAATGCCGCTCAAAAGTTGCGCCGCACATAAAGTTGCAGATTTTAAATTAGCATTTCGGGAAGAAGCTTATGGGAAACCTGGAGAATGTTTCCTCTGATCGAGACAATCAATTTATTTGCCTTTTTCTCAAGTTTTTCAGATGTTTATGGACTCTATGGTAATCTAATACTAAAGATTTGGCTTTACGATGCAAAAACCGCGAAAATCAGACGCGATTTTGAAAAATTCTTGAAAATTCCCCGATCATGACCTAAAACTTAAACGTCTGCCACTTGTAAAACATACTTTGCCGTATAAAATTCATACTAAAGCGACTCCGTCATTTCATCAGTTCCTCAATAAATAAATGTGAAACTTTGATAGGGTCTGCAACAACAGCCTTTAAAATTAACTGCACTTTTGAAAAATTGTCGCTAATTGCCTAGTTACGAGTGAAACTCAGGATTTTCTGAGCTTATAGAAGGGACTTTGTCCTATACAATGCATCCAAAAATGACTTTCGCACTTTACAAGTTAGCGCAGAAATAAATGCTAAGCTCCGGCCTGTAGAAACCACCGCTAAAACCAGACGC